CATATCCTGGATCCAACCCAATAAAGTGATATAGACATGATATAGAACAACATATTGCATCGTTATAACTTTTGTAGCATATTTTGCCTTCACAACGTCTATTGCAGGACTTACATATGTGTCGCGTAAAATGATTATTGAGAATAATAGAATTGTTCATATCTTTACCCCAATCCGTTGTTTCTTTCAACATTTTACCAGGTAATATATACATCTCTTCTCCAAGTAAGCATTTAATATGAAGTGTGACGTTGCAATCATTGCAAATATAAACTCCATGTTTTGGATTTATTTCCTCTTCACACACATCACACCAATATCGATCCCACACGTTTTCACCAAAAGAAAATATTAGAGGATGTTCATCATGCTTGTACATGAACTTCTTTGGTAAAGTGACACAACCAAAGCACAAAACAAAGTCACATTCTCCGCACTCTAAACAGTTTGTTAGCTGTGATTCACAAATCGAACATATTCTTTTTGATCCATATTTAGATGGTAGAAACAAAGGATGGATATGACACTGATGATCCAATGGCTCGGATACGGAAGCACACCGCATGTCTAACAGAAAATGATTTCCACATGCCTTACACTCGTACCTGAAACCATTGCATTCACGGAGGCAAGATGAACAAGAGAATTTACTTTGTGTATTACCATCATGTAAGACGAGAGGATGGGGATGCATCGCATGCTGTTTTTTCATAGGAAGATATGCACATACTTTGTGGAGGATGAAATCACATTCCATGCAACTGAAAATATCACCTTCGTAAACAAGAAGTGTGCAGGCTTGACAACGATTGTTTTTTTCATTCGCTTTATCAATCTCTTCTTGGAGTTTCATATAATGGTTATGGCTGAAATGTTGTATAATCCCTTCACCTATCTCTTTGAACGGAGTAGTATCTTCATATGTGTCTTCTGGTTTTCCCTCAAGCTCTATTCCATCCCATACATCACCATATACCACACATTTGGAATGAACAACATATGAGCAATCTTTGACGCACGAGTATCCTCCATAACTTTCGTTAAATTTTTCACGACAAACCCCGCAAAACAATTCTCCAATAAGAAATGAAGACGTAAAAGCGAGGCGGTGTTCATGACGAGATATTTTTATGATACTTGGAAAATAGATACATTCTTTATGGACCACAAAATCACACTGGTGGCAAGCATAGATAAAATACCTTCGATCATCCAAACCACAAACATCACAAGTCATAGAAGCTTCTCTAAATGTGTAGGAGAGTGCATGTTCATGCCTTTTCTTATGGTTTATTGTAAGGAGTGGTGGTTTACGGACACACTTACGACAAATTCTAAAATCGCATATAGAGCAATAGCGAAATGAACGCTTATACAAATAGCAAGAATAACATCGTTTGTTTGATGATATGTCTTCATGATATGTGAGAACTTGGAGAGAATGTTTAGGATGATAAGGGTTCTTTACCATCGGCTCGATACACTTTTTATGGAAAACAATTAGGCTAAAGATTCTCTTAACGGATTGTTGGTTTAAATAATATCCGGTGGTGGCAGGTAACAAATCACGGCAAAAGTTGCATTGATTATAAAAGTTTTCATCTTCGAACAAGACAAGGGGAATAATACTATCTGTAGGTGTAGACCCATCGAGAGTATCTAATGGTTCTACTATAATTGGTAAATCTCTGAATTTTATAGAACGAAACTCCTCTTTAAAATTAGTTGGACGAAAGCAAATGATAGCAGTAAGAGCATTTTGATTTTTCATAGAATTCATGGTTGA